TGATTTATCTTAATCCCCTCAATCTCTCTTTGGCAGCTCAAAATCAGCATAAATGCAGAAAGGATCTTAAAATAATCTTTTTGAAAACCTTTACATCCTGTGCAAATAAAATTAATGGATCTTATAAATATATATTTTTTAATAGCGTGTGAAAAACATACATTTGAGATTCATGTTCAACGAGGGGCTCAAACACTGCACCGTACAGAAATGTTGTCTTTCATTTTCCAGCTGCAGTATTATTGTGCAGTCAGTCTCCATAACTGTCCTGGCCTATGAAGAGATTCAGTACTTTCATGCAGCCCAAACAACACTCCATCACTTAAACCCCGTATGTCATCATGCTTCTTTGAGCTCTGAAGGAAAAGCTTGGATGGATTCCCTTGAACAATTAACAGCCCTCGTGTGGTATTCCTTTGTAAAGCCTCCAAACCACACATCTCTCATTTAAGTGTTGTAACAACAATTAACAATAAATTGACATTTTAATTTCAGATGCTCTCCAATGAAACCACCTGTTGGGTAGAACTGGTTTCAGCAGCACTATTCAAACGGAATAAACTCAAACCACAGACCTACATTCTCTTTGTAGCTCTTTAAGTTTTATGATCTGATGTTTGTTGGAATTTTGCAATTTTTTTAAAATTAAGTGTATTTTGTGCAGTTTTGTTATTTTTTTCTGCCAATTGTGTTCTTGTGGATGTGGGATATCTTGATTTTCAGTCTCCAGCGTGGACAAAACTCGATCATCTTCTTCAAAGCCGACATGACCGCAGTAGTACCAGGATTTATTTAGTCAGATTAGACATGCAGTAGATACTTGCTATTGCTGAAATGCCCCTTTAAGCGATCAGTGGCATTGCATATTTAGTTATTTAAACAGGCACGACACTTAGAAATACTCTTTTGTCTATAAGTTCCTTATTAGCTGAGCAAACTGACCGAGCCTAAACAATCCTTAAACCTTTAAGGATGCTGTTCGGGACACAGTCAACACATGAGGCGAAATCTGTTTGTTTCACCATTTGTCTTTATTGAAGAGGAAGGCAAAGAGGAGAAGCAGGTACAAAAGCACAACTGAGCTACACAGCAATGTCACGCTACTTTTGTGTCACTTCTTTGTGTGAGTAGTTTAAATAGGTAGCACTACAACAACAGCTTTCTGGTGACCTATGAAAGGCAAAGGAATGCATCTTTGTTTCTCCAGGGAGTCGTGATAGCATATGGGTGCGTTAGTAACCAGCAAAATGCTCTAAAACTGTCCATCTATAGCTGCCATTGGCACCAGAGGGAGGAATGAAGAGGTGATTGGAAAATAGACACAAGCACAACAACGTCATGACAGGTTTCTTGAAAACAAGGACCCTACACACACGGGTAAATTTGATTTTTTTCTAAAGTTCAAAACACTCCAGTTATTTACAGATTTAATGGGCTGTTTTCAGCATTATAATTAGGCCCATTTTCTGCTCAGGTAAGAAGGAAAAGAGTACACCCTTAATGATGGGATTTCTTCCTGTAAGACTCTTAAATATCAGCATAATGGAGGCCTGAAAAAAGGACCCCATCCTCTATAATATTTTCTCTGATACCAAAGCCTTTTGCTTACCAGTCATCTCAGCCAAAAAAGACCTCGAGAGCACAAGCATCCCAATCATGTATGGAACACTGTAGCCAGGAGTGTTTGAGGATGCTTTTTATTCATTGGAGATTCATTTAAAGGCAAAAAAAAAGAAAGGAGAAAATGGTAAGTAAGCGCACTTTGCTGTTAATGCACATGAGTTAAAAAACAACAACAACCTACCAACAAGTAAATTCAGGCTGCAGCACATTTGTGAGTGATTTATTGAGAGCTCATGCTAAAAGGATAAATGGAGTGTCTGTTAGCACTGTTGCCCTGTGCTGTACGACCCAATGACAGTGCATTTAACCACATTAACCACCGGATAACACAAATATGTATTAATATGTCAAATGCAGATAACCCGTACACAGAATCGATCAGTATATAAAACAGGACAAAAAGACATTGATTTTTTTAAACTAATGAACTTTAAAGGCAACAGTTGTTTCAACACAAGAAGAAATGTAACTTTAAGCCACAGTCGGGAAAAGAAAATGGCTCAAGTGTGACACAAAAGCTACAGGAAAAAATATAAAAATAAAAAAGATAATGGTTGATTCAATGTGACATTGTTGGCAACACACCTCTAATTTCACAGCCAGCTGCTGTCTAAACTTATGCACAATGTTTCTGACTCTTACCAAGTGTTAGACAGCACGATTGAAACCACCCCCGTGTCTGTTTGGTAAAAAACAAACAAAAAACTACTAGTAGTATTTTTACAACTGCTAGCTTGTTTCGCTTTTAGTGCCTGCAGCCACTCAGTGTTTAAATATGTATTTCCTTCAGTTACCTAAACTGAGGATTGTTAGGATGTATGTGAATCCTCTGTTGGACCAAGCAGATGTTTAGTCAGAACAAAAAGGGAATTTCCTGTTTTAAAGTCGGTTATTTGCTCGAGCCAGAATGGCTATTTCCCAGTTTCCAGTCTAAGATAAGCGAACAGCTTCATATTTACCGAACAGACGCGAGAGAGATATCGATCACAGATCAATGTTCACAGATCCACATTTGATAATAACAGCCAGCTACTCCTTTACCAAAACATTAAATGCTGATTAAAATTCTTCAACATGTTGATCCAGATCAATAAATGTAGAGATTGTCAATAGAATTAAAATAATATTTTAATCAATCATATAGAACAAATTAAAAAAATTTAAAGTGCTGCCAACCATGCTTATTGAGCTTACACAACAAGGCTGCCCTTTTCTAACAGATCACAGCATCAACTATGGTGGTAATAGGTAGTGACAATGTGCACAGTGACATGTTTTGACTCAATCACGTCACTTTTGATAACATGGAATAAATCTCTGAAATGTAAATGACTCATCGCCTTTGTTGGTGGGGAAATGCTCTGGATTGTTCTTCCTGTACTTCCCAGTTTGTAGACACATTCAAAAGCATGTACAATGTTTTTTTTTCGATTTTTTAAAATATTTGATTCACCAGGAAATCAGTTCCCTAGAAAGGAGAGATTCCTCTACGCTTGTTTACGCTCTATGTAGTTAATGTGGTTTTTTTAAGAATATAAATAGGCTATTTAAAAAAAAAAAAATCTATAAAAAACCCCAAAACACTTGCTGGGCAGTAACATCTACATTATTTTCACGTTAATACACACACAAAAACTAAAAAACAACAACAAAAAACCCCAAACACAACAAAACAAGAAGCTTAATGCGCCATTTTAGCTTTTTATACAGTGGTAAAACCTCAGAGGTAGAAAAAGTATGAAAATCATTGAGAACTTTAACAAAACCAAACAAAGCACACAAGAGCTCCCAAACTCTATAAACTGAAAAAAAATGAAACTGCAGACACAACTGAGAGAAAAGTCTTAAAACATGAGTTACAAAAACAAACGGAAAACACACAAAAACACACATCGTGGGTAGGTTCCTCCTTGGTGACGGTACAAACGTGGCCCAGTGGCAGCTATAGCTTTTTGCTAACCAAGAGATGGATGAGACGGGGTTAAATGCTGGACACAATGTGAGGCTTTGTTGCATGAGAAGCTCTGTTACTGATCGGCTCTGGGTTCAAACAGCCACAAGGCCGTAAGGTAAAACACCTGACCTAAAACCATATTAGCTTTTCAATACTGCATCTAGTTGATAAAATGCATTAAGTTAAGTTAGATCAAATCACTTTTCATTACTTTTCACCTGTGTATGTGTCAAATATGTGAACACTAATTTACATAGTGTTGTTTGCTCACTGTGGTTTGATACTTTTGGACATTTTCTTTCTTTAGATTTCATCACTCGTCCCAGAGGAATGATCAACCTTATTTCTTCTCCAGTTTGTTTGAAAACTCTCCATTTAATCATGTGGATGGCAGTATTACATGCAAGCCCAGACATGGTCCTGTTTAATCACAACCAGCTGGTCTGTGTCTGCAAAAACACGTTTACACGAGTCAAAGTGTTGCCGACCTGCATTTTGTCTCAATGACAGACTGAAATGCACTGCAGATTTGATACCACATGCCACTGATTGGATTAGCAAGCGGGCCTGGTGCGCCGTGCTAATTAAGTGTCTGGGAGAAGGTGCGCTAACGATGCACGATTACCTTCAGTTTGCAGAGAACAAATGAGGTCAAGAAGCTATCAGCGGCCATGCTACGTATACACACGTCAAAAGAACCTAAAGATGAATAGTGGCTGTGGTCAGTGTATAATAAAACCTGTCTGTTCTATTGTGTAAAATGTATAACTGCATTTGTGAAAATGTTAAAGAATTACATAAAACTCAAAGCCCATTTCATCAGAACAATCCAACATTCAATATTGTATTGAATAACATTCTCATGTTATCCCCCACTTTAAAAAAATAATTTATAGCAAAAGCTAATCAAAAGCTAATTAGCTAAACTCAACATCAATAGTTTATAGCTAGCTAGTTAGCTTATAAAATACTGTTTAATCAAGAAATATTCATCAGTTTTATTGAATATCTGTGTTATTTTTGCCATTTTTCCCAAAATGCCCATTTTCAGGAAAGTCTTAACCAGCTAACTTTAGTAGTGGTTTTTGCTAGCTTATAAAATACTATACAGGGGAGTGTAGCTATTTTGGCTGCCATGAAATAAGGGTCGTTCTACATCCTGAACAGGGAAATAAATATTTAAAATTGTGACTGAATATCGTTCCTATTTTTCACCATATTATTTTTTAAATGCCCACTTTTGGCCCAAACAAACCAGCTAACTTTAAGCAGCTGTTGTTGCTAGCTTTAGCATAGCGCATGTAATACGCAAAAAATGAAAAGACAGCGACAACCCCGGTGTTGCTTTGTCGTAAAAATGTCTACCCCTATCAAAACAGTAATAAAACAAGATTTGAATCATTAATTAATTATTTAACTTGTCAGCATCCCGCCACAAATAAAGCAAATTTATATTTCCTTTTTATAAATGTGTTAAGTACTGTATTGGATGTTGTATGTTAGGACCTGTTCTGTAATCTGTCTTTATTTCACTGCTTATTGCTCGAGATACATCTAAATGTAGTTTTCCCGCTCACAGAAATTAAACATTGCTTTTCATTAGCCCTCTTCCTTTACATATTTTATTTATGTAGCTTTCCTTTCAAAAGGACGTCGTTCCTGATCGCTTGCTATTAAACACCTGGCAACTCAGGGTTTTTACTAACACACAGTTAAGTGTCTGAGAAGTCATTCCCAGACTCATATGGATTTTCCTTATTTTTCTAATTCAAATTTTAGGGAAATCTCCAAACAATTCTTTTAACAGGAATCCTACCTGTGGACTAACGTTGTGGTTACTTGAACCCAGAGTAGCAACTGTCCATGTCTGTGACTGCGCTGTAGCTGCTGAAAGCATTTCGTACAATAGTGAGTGAGGGTTTAGACTCAGCGTCTGTGAGCATGCCCGTGTACAGAGGAGGATCTGTGCGTGACTGTGTGTTTTTGGAGTGTGTGTATTGGTAGCTCCTCTACGTCCCTTTGGGTGGGGTCCATTTTAAGGCTGTGGGGTCAATGGTCTTGCTGTTACCACGTTTGGTCTCCTTGGCCTTCCAGTCATCAATAAGGTCCTTTAAAGGAAGAAGGAAACACCCCGCAAAGTAACCCTGGTTATTAGAATCATAAACAACAACCAGCTGCTAATTGGGAGAGAGTGGCTAATCTACTAAACAGAGACAACGGCATGGCTGTGTTTCATACCTGTCTCTTTAAAACCAGGTGCTTCCCCTTCCAATATTTAAGCATCTGGAGGGACTGCAGTGTGCTGACTATATCCACCGGGTTCACTGCCGTTTCCTGGCTGATCTCTGTGAACATAAAAGTGAGAGAAACTGAGGATGAATCATCAGCAGCTTTCAAATCATTTCCCTGCATTCATTACACCCATAAAAAACATCTTTAAAAAATTCATATTTAAAAGTTTTTTTTCATTAAAATATTCCCTTCAGGTCTTCAGAAAGCTCAGATGTAACTTTACTATCTGTGGCACAGGGACACACAGAGCAGCAGAGTGGGGTGACTGAGAAGAGTCACTGTCATCACTCTGTGCGAGCTGGAGACATTTTCCTAGATTCAAAATAACAAGAAGACATTCTGAGTTCAAAAGAAAAAATACAAATAAAAGAGGACAAAAAGATGCTCAGAAGTGAAGGAACAGAGTGTTATCACTGAACCATTCACTGTTTAGTCACATTCTTCTTTATTCCGCGTGTCAAACAGATTGCACTGAAGGACGCTCGCGGTGAAGTCGTCATTTATGAAAAGTAACTCCTATCAAATACTGGCGTGTCAGTGCTTCCAACCTCCAATTAGATACACCTATGGTAGCTAGCATTTTCAAGATCCTACGTCACGTCCTTCTCAACTTTTTGCATTGACAACAGTTTCATAAAAACTTGACCTCTGACCCCTGACCTTGAGGATGAGGTCACTGAGATTCAAAGCCGTCTGAGATTTTTAGGGATACACCTAAGATATCGAACATCGTTCTCGAGTTACTGCATTCACAAACTTGGGTGTCTGTGAATATAAAACCCCACCAGCCTGTTACAGCAGAGGGGTAACAACGAAACACAATACTGGATATTGAAGTGAAATTATTGAAAACTTTAGAATACACAACGTGATGATTATAGTGCTGTTAAATGATGATGTCAATCCCATCAAATGCAAAGGATGCATAAGCACCGTGAAACAATACAAGTGTAAGCTAGTAAACAGAGGTGTGAATAACTTCAAATATTCCAAAATCCTCCATAAAGAAGGAAATACAAGCAGCATGTGAGCTGGACTGCAACATGAAGACAAGGAAAATGAATGTGTCGTGTGTTTGAGGCCGGTGTCACTCAAAGCACTGCTGTGCCTTAATGCCTTACACAGACGTGAGCGTGTGACTGCACTGTTTGTTTTTAATCACAGAAGCAGAAACGAGCAGCGCAAACAAACGCGATGCACCATGGGAGCAGGGCGTTCCTCGCTTCCTCCGAGTCACCGCTTCTTTGGCAGAAAACCACAGGGGAAGCCTCGCGTGCACCCGCCTTCATTTATCACCAGTACATTGACTCGATATGGCTGCAGTGCTCTCTGACCCATTCACAAAAGTGGCCACGCTT